AGAAATTTGTGTACTCACCATCCAAACTAAGAATCTGATGTTGCCAAATCTACTGAGCTCACCCTCTGCCTCCCAACCCCACTCCACTCCTGGCTTGCAGAATGCCATGCTGAATTTTGGGTTTTTATCCCCATGTCCCAAAATACGTGAACATAATCAGACATGTGTGGTTGGGTTTGCCTGTGCTTTGGGAAAGCAGTTTCACACTGTGCAGTTTCAGGGGCTTATGTCTTCATTCAACACTGTGATCCTAAGATCGACACATGCACATAGCTGCGTGTGTCTCATTCATTTTTACTGCTTTGTAAGTCCATTGTGTAGACATACCAGTCCCTGTCAATGTACTCAGGTTGTCCCACTTTGACAGCACAACCTTGCCTGTGTCCCCAGGTGCACATGTGTAAAATGTTCCTCAGGACAGCAGCTCTCAAACTGGACAGCAGATCACATGCTGGAGCTTGCCCGCAATGCAGATACTTTCAACCTATCAAAGATTCTGGGTCAGCAGCTGTGGGGTTGGACCTAGAAACCTTCATTTTAACAGACTTGCAAGGTCTCCAGACACCACACTTCAACAAGCCATTTCTAACCCTACCCCTAGTACTCACTGGAGCAGGAAGCACACACACATCCAGACTCACAGCATTTGCAAATTTGCTGTATTATTTTATATCCAAACCAACTGTACATATAAACGTTCCAACAGCTTATATGCTTGACAGAGCTTCTCACAATCTAACGCTTTTAAGATGGTACTTCATTTTGGATTTAATTTTCATTTTCTTAATTTTTTTTTAATATTTTTTATTTACTTATTTATTTTAGAGAGGGGAAGGGAGGGAGAAAGAGAGGGAGAGAAACATCTATGTGCACTTGCCTCTCACACACCCCCCTACTAGGGACCTGGCCTGCAACCCAGGCATGTGCTCTGACTGGGAATCCAATCAGCAATCTTTGGTTTGCAGGCCAGTGCTCAGTCCACTGAGGCACACCAGCCAGGGCTCATTTTCTTAATTTCTATATTTATTGGCTATTCAGCTCTTTTGTGACATACCTACTCATGTCTGTCCCATTCTCCTAGAGACGTGTAGAATTTCATTTTGTTTACTATCTTGAATATTAACCTTTTGTGTATTACATATGTTACAACTGTAATTTATGGTTACCATTGCACCCTAAGGTGTCCTACAATCTTTTAACTTTAATATGCTTGAATGTGTCAATATTTCCTAGTACAGTTAATGCACTTTTGGGTAGTTGTTTAATAAACTTGAAGTTAAAAATATTCTCATTTTTTAAAAAATGTTATGGTTTTTTCTTTAATATGTAATGTGGAAATTTTCTTTTGGTGTGAGGTAGGGATCCAAGTTCACTTTTTCTCTTCTCATGGATAATCAGCAGCACTAGAACCATCACTTAAATAGGCCACTTTCATCCAGTCATCTGTGATTACATGAACAAGCACATTTCAGGTTTACATATTTCTAAAAATCAACTTGGCTTTCTGTTCCACTGGTCAGCTCTTCTGTTCCCCTTGCCAACATCACATTTTACAGACCACAGCCGGTCAGGCCTAAGGCTATTTTTCTCCTTTTCTTCCTCCTCTTTTCTCTTCTTGGGCATTTTCTTAGCCCTTGCCTTTCCACTTTCTAATAAACTTAGGAATCAAGATTTCAAATCCCTCAAACACTCTGGGATGGTCTGGGTTAGAACCATACTGAATCTACTTGCCAACATGAGAGAGCTGACATTTTTACCATATTGACTTTTCATATTAATTCTTACATATTATGGTCTCTCATTTTGTCTTTGCTAATGTCTTTGTTAGAGTGTTACTATATTCCCATGGGTAATTTCAAGTGTGTTTTCTCTTTGACAGTTGTTCCCCAACAGGTACCTTATGTTTTTGTGACTAGCACTAAATGGGAACTTTTCAGATACATGTAAAACAGGTAGTTCAATGGGTCTAAAATTTTAAAAAACTAGCCCTGGCCAGGTAGCTCAGCTGGTTAGAGCATCATCCTGATACACCAAAGTTGTGGGTTTGATCCTCAGTCGGGGCACATACAAGAATCAACTAATGAATGTATAACTGAAAAAACAAACTGCCATTTCTCTACTCTCTCTCCCCTGACCCTTTCTTCTTCCTTTCTCCCTCTCCTTCTCCCTTAAAAAAATAAAAAACTGATATACATTAAACATCACTTCCTCCCCAGTTCTTATTTACATTTCACAACTCCTTACAGTAACTACTTTTAATCACTTTTTTCTTTCCAAGTTATTTTTATGGTTATCCTAGAAATTTGTGTGTGTGTGTGTGTGTATAAATGATAGATTTAAAGGACTAAATGAATCATTATTTCACTCCCCCAGCCAAATACTCCTAAATGAGAACTCTGACCTGCAGCTCAGCACCATCTCCCCTCTCCCAACACATACACCGAAAGGATGGGGACATAACCAAAACTTGAAAACCGGAACCTTTTCAGAAAACAAGGGTCACACCCTGGCCAGATCAGTTGGTTAGAGCATCATCCTGATATGCCAAGTTGTGGACTCCACCCCCTGTCAGGGCACATGCAAGAGTCAACCAATAAAGGCATAAATAGAACAAACTGATGTTTCTTTCTTTCTAAAATCTGTATGTAAGTTTTTTTAAAAAAAAGAAACCAAGGTTCTGTTGTCCAGGAAATTCAGTGCTAATAGCTCTTAACATAAACAGCTGATTTCCAGGGTCCACCAGTTAAAATTTTCCCCACCAGCACTGCCACATATGCGTTCCCCCTAAACCCTTAAAAACTCTCAATCTAGTCCAATGAGCAAGATAGATTTGAGAGGCACTATCAGGTCTCCCATCTCCTTGACTGGTGCCTTCATGATCAATAATCTTTTCCTTACTCCAAAAAACAAAATAAGCCATTAACTCCAGACACTGTTTTACATGGCTGTGCACTGGGATGTTTGTCCACTTTGAAGCAATGCCTTCATGGCTTGTTCTCCTTACAGTATCTCATGAAGCTCCATCAGAAAAGGCATACTGGTAAAAACTGTTTATCCCACGTAATCTGCATTTCACACCTTCTTGAAAGGCAGTTTGCTGCACACACACTTCTAGTTATTTTCTCTTAGCATATCTGCGTTCTCTTCACTCAGATGAAGCTATTGGAGACTGGCTTTCTCAGTTCAGGTTCCAAAATTTCAGGGGAGGATCTTGAAATGTCCACTTTGGGTTGGATGGAGGATAAAATAACCACTCACTCAAAACCCATGAGGGCAAGCGGCAGACATGGCACCCAGTGTGAAAGGAAGTGTTTGTGTCGTGTTGGTGACAAAATGCCTGGCAGACAGGAAGTAAACACATTTAGCTAAGGTAACTTAAACCCAATGTTTCTAAATAGTGGTTAAAATTTCCTAACATATTGCCATTTCCTTTAGGGAAAAGTCCTCATACATTATAGGTTGTACTCAAAACATCCTTTGGTAACTAAGGAATGCCTGACATCAAAGCTGTGTGCTCCCAATAACAGCATTTTCCATTATGTACCTGATTTGTGGAATAAACAGCCCTGCCTTCCAGCAAGAACTTCCTGGTCTCCTTCCAAGTCAGGCTCAAGGCCATGCTCTTCCTCCACCACACTGCCACCAGCACACCCTGCAGCGATGTCTCCTACTGCATGACTCCTAGTGACCCCTCAGTGCATCCCCACAAGTCAGCGAACACACGTGGAGCAAACCTGCCTTCGCCCAGGCTGCTGCATGACTCAGGCCCTGCCGCCCACCCCACCTGGTCAGGTGTCCTCCCCTCACTCTATACACCACCGTGCTCTATGTGCAGCATTCCCTTGCTCCTCTTTTCCCCTTCAGTCCTTGACATCCTTGCCTTCAAGCTTAAGACTGACCTCATCTCCTTAGAGACGCCTGGCCCAAACGATCTAATGCTGCTCCCTTGTTGCTCTCAACCCCAGCCCACAAGTCACAAATGGGTATCACCTGCCAATCACATAGACTCTTAGAGCTCCAAAGATCTGCTTACTCTATTTTTGACCAGAAGCTGCTTTAAATGTTTTACTGGAATTATTTTTAAATTATGCAACACTTTTTATCTGATTTCACTTTTAGCTTCTTCCCTCCAAAATATGGACTATATATGACTATATATGTTATATATATAATTGAGGTGTTCTCAGTTTTTGGAATAATTTAACTTCTAACTTATTGAGAAAACAGTATCTATGGAGAGTAAAGGAGACACGCATCTTAGTGGCATTTTGATGACACCATAGCAATACAAATCTTGCCTTCTTGATTCTTTATACTAATATGTGAACTTTCAATGTAACTGAAGGTGTAATGACGAAATTTCAACAACAATCACGTTTTTTAAGAGTAAGGAGAGTTAAGTAGTGGGGCATTTCCAATGCCTGAGCAATGAGGGCTGGCAGGCAGGAATACCGCATAGTGTGTGAACACCTCCTGCGGTTCCTGCAACCGGCACAGTGATTTGCACACGTGTGTGAAAACAGACAGGAGGACAGGCAGCCACCCCAGATCCTGATTTACACTCTCCATTGAAAATAGGGTCAACTTTCCTTAACTGCAATTTTTAAAACTTTCAAACAAGCTTACCTGCTATGGTGACAACAAGCATCTTACCAGACCCTGAGGAACTTTTGAGAAATGTCTGTATTATTTCAAATCATTAACTTCCTTCAGAAATTTTTGGGATGGGAATGCAGGAATGGAGAAGATTATGTATCACTTAATATTAGCCTAACAGACAAATAGGAAATATAACACAACTGATCTTTTAAGTCTAAAATTAAAATTTTTCAACTGAGCAAACTATAATTAGAAATCTGTACAATTTCTACTTCATTATGATGTTCAGTAGCTATTAACAAAACTGCATGAAAGCAAAATATTTTTAAAAAGTAAAATAATTTTAAAAAGTAAAATAATAAAAAAGACACTCCTAACAACAAAACTTTTTACACTAGTAATTATGGAACGTGGATTTTTAATGAATTTCATATTGCAATGAAGACACAGAACACTTAAAAACAATTACCTCAATACAATAAAAAATACTTGCTTCTACACAACACTTACAAAATGCATACTTTGTCCCAAAGAAACTTGTTTTGCACACATTTAAGCAACAAATAATTTTACATAGGATTCTTCAGGCTGCAAAATATGTACAGAATCTCTGACTCTACAGAAACTGATGTGCAGTGGTCGAAAGAGTGATGTTCTGTCCAACAGTGTATCTCGTATGAAATTCTCTACCAACACAGTTTTCAGTAACCACCATCCCCTTTCCATTATTAAATGAAATTCTGGACATGTCAGCATATGGGACAAAACAACTCCCATTTCAAAACACTATTTCAGATGAAATCACTTGTGGCTGATCACATGACAAGTTTAGCCACACACACACATACATGCATGCAAACTCACACATGTGCACATACACACTACCACCCCGTCTCCTTCATGACTTCTGAAATCACCAACACTACGACCAGAACAGCTGAAGGGATCCCATCAGAGGACACGCAGCAGCCAGCAGGAGAGGGTCCTGTGCCTGGAAACCCTGCTCCAGCACCGTGGGGCCTTATGCCCTCAAGGAGATGGAAGAGTGAGGCTGGCCCCTCCACTTAGCAAAGACCATGAAGGGCGCTGGTCTGCACAGAATTAAATGGCAATCACAAATATGTATTTAAAAGCTTCAAAATTTTTAATCTGGCAGAGATCTGGTTCTTAAGTTTGATTTAGCTATTTATACACATCTTTCAATGTTCCTAACAGTGATTCTAAGACACCCAAACATTCAAATTAAAACCCAAGAGGAACCCAAGAGTGTGGTTAGGTAAATCGTCATTGAGAACTCACCACGCTCAGGCCTTTGGGGTATGGTGCCGTGGAGAAGGTGTGGCCACAGACATCCTGCCTTAAGACCACTCAGGAGAGCACGGCTGGAACCTGGTGCTCAGGATCACAGTGACAAGCTGACTTTGTCCTCAGTGTGCTCAGGGCAAATGGCACATTTTAAAAATACAACCAATTCTTGAGTTTTAAAAATAAACTCACTATAAAACTTTTCTTGTTTGTCCCTTAGCAACCTCAACTCTAAATTTTCCTGGTCCCTCTTCCCTGCCAGGCTCTGTAACTCATTTCGGAATCACCAATGATTCAGGGTTTAAGTCTCAAAGATTAGCTACTGTAGGACCTGAGCCTTAGGCGCTCCACCCAAGGGCAGCCTGCACACTGTCCCACTGCGCTGCACCACACCGCACCAAATGGTGTTCTAGCCCGTGTCACTACAAAACAGGAGACACGAGGAATGGGGTCACCTATGGTCATTTCCAACATTACCCTCTTGTACCTCTCCAAGGGGCCAGTCTCCGAGTGGACATATTCAAGGATTAAAAATATGAGGAGCAGTACACTGAGATGTCTCTTTATCAAAACTGTAACTCAACAATAACACTAACTCACAAACGTCACACACAGTAACTGCTAAGAAGGCAAGAGTGATGGGCCCAGCAGTGGGAGGGTTGGCACTAAGAGGTGTTCCGGCAGCAGAGACCGGAGCATCTTGTCACCTGTGAACTATGGCTATAGCTGCCACCCTGCTGGCTAATGGAAGTGCCTTTTGTCTTCAGGATACATTTGCTGTTTGTCTTCCTTGCCTTCCAAACTAAATTCAGTATTCCAGCTAAAAGCCAAAGTGCTTAGTTAGCTAGGCACAGTGAGACTCCCAAGTTTTCCAAACATTTATTTTTGAGGTAGTACTCATTTATTTGCATTGTTGGCTCTCAAATACCACCAAGGAAGTGAACCCATGTAGAAATATGCAAACCAAAGGTGTAGAAAATAAATAAGGTTTTTGTCTTCAGGTAGCAGAGCCTTCTTAAAAAGGTCAAGTCACATTCAATGGATAAGTCATTTGAAACTTCTAAAAACTGTTTATAACCATAGCTATAAACTAAAGTGCTTTAAATTTTGCTTACGATCTGAAATTGGTGATTAGAATCATTTTAGAATTTGCTAATATGAGACCTCAGGATATTGAAATGATTTTCTATAAAAAACAACAGAAACTTTTTCTTTTCAAAACAAACTCTCTAAATGTTGCAAACTCAACATTTGATGCTATTTTTTTACTTCTAAGATCCAGGTTAATTTCACAGAACTGTAACAGAATAAGAGCTGAAGCTGAATTACACAACAGCACTTGCTACAACTTCATAAGGAAGTAAACATAAAATTTTTTACTAATCCTGCCATTCATCAGCCAAGGCAAACACAGCTCTGCAGTCTCCCCAGGACAAGGTAGATATGTAGGATTATTCCAGAAATGCCACAGACTTATGCTCACAGTAATACACAGGTTCACATTGAACTCACACAAATTTGATGCCCTCCTGACATCTGTCAAATGCCATGTGCTACAGGGAGGGGCTCCGTTCCCACTGACCAGAGGATGCCAGCACAGACAAGATGGATAAAAAACAAAACCACAGTTCTGTACATTTCATGCAAGCTGGGTACAATGTGAAAAGGACATATACAAATCACCCTTCTCAGGGTCCAGCTCTCACAAAAACGGCTGATCGGTATGAGAAAGTCTGCTCCAGTCACAGGTCCATGGCATATAGTGGCAGCACCTTATTTTTCTTGTAACAGTGCAGGGATGTTGATGTTCCAGCCTATGGCTTGCCTGTCAAACCCACAGGTGAACAGATTGCACGTGGGATGGTCCTCACTCCACGCGGAGCAGCACACCATTCTTCTGTGGCCCTATTACCAATAACACAAAACAGAATTAGTGTATTATTCCTCAAGCATAAAAGCTATAATAAAACCTCAAAAGCTATAATAATACCTCAGCCAAATTAACAACTACACCACTCAAAGCAACCAAATGAAGAGGAAAACAATTAACAGGCAGGATTAGTCAAAGTGAGCCAAAAGCACTGAGTAGGGCAACGGGCTCTCAGGGATGTGCTGGTGGAAAGGCCATGACAAATGAATGAGGTCAGACACAAGAACCCAGTGAGATGCACAACAAAATCATTTATGATTCTTTAAGAAAATGAGTAAGATTACAGTCAGACAAAAATAAATAACTAAAAATAATCAATTTAAAATGTTTTAATGAATAAATGAGGCTAGGTAAATTTGGGAATAAACTCAATGAAATTGACTCAAAGACCTCAAATATCATTTTAACAAATACTTTGTTCAGGTGTTAAAGTCGCTAGAAAAACACATTTGGTGCCAAGTAAAAAAAGAAAAAAATAAGTGGCCTTTCAAGTAGATTCCTGCTAGCTTTAGGAATTCCAGTTCAATACCAGAATATTGGAAAATATTTCTGCAAAACATGTGCAATGGTTACAGTGCACTATGTTTGGTGTATACACACATGGATGCAAGCACTGCCTTAGGAGAGTCATATGTTGCTCTAATAAATAAATGGCTATTACTATACCCTACAATAAAGTACAAGAAGCAGGATTAGGAACAGTTGACAGAAATTGAGCAAGTGAAAGAATAGCACAGAAGTCCCCTCTGGAAAACATTCACATATGAATATTGCTAGCTATATGTTTTCAGAGAGAACTGGACAGGCCATGCAATGAAAGCACTGCTAGTAAGGAGCCCACAGAACGAAGGGTTTGGGAAGGGATCTTCTATACTTCTTTGTTAGGAACCCGAGAAGAGAATGAACAAGCATCCATTAGCTGGCAGGAAAAATCAAGCCTCTGGAAAGAACTAGTTGAAGATGACAAACTCAAGGCATTCACTGGACTAACCTTGAAATCAGGTCCCACTAACTGGATGAGGGAAAAGACCAGGCAGCACCTACAAACGTGGGTGAAATCCAGAAGCCAAGTCCTCACTGAACTGGAAGCCCACACTAGGAGTCACCCTTTCATCTGTAGACTCCCAGAATGCACACGGACATGACCCAGAAAAGCTCTGTGCACATGCAGACTCTGAAACCACTCTGCCCTCCTGGAGTTGCAGGCACATGTTGAAAGCTCCACACTCCTGTGCAGACCCTGTGCCCTGTCCTCAGACCGACCTCTCACTGTGCACTGCACCATGATCCTCTCCACCCTGGATGCCTGTTCAGTCCACACTCTGGAAAATGTCACTTACATGTTCCCCAAAGTTAAAACAATCCCATTATCATAAGCCCCTGATGCTCTGGTGACCAAGTTCAACTGAGTTTCATTGTCTCCTTATGAATCTATCAACTGGAAGCAATTGAGACAACATGAACCAGGGATTTCTAGCTGCAGTTCTGTGACACTGAAAACCATATTGTTTTATCTGATGAAGTGTTACAAGTTCAGAATGAAATAGAATGTTATTCATTAATAATAAAAATAAGTCCTTTCAGACCCACATTAGGAGGATATAAATCCAAGCACAACAGAATTCTACAATTCCAAAAGGTTTGAATATTAACAGATAATTAAAAATGAAGTTGTGTCCACAGAATTAGCCCCAACAAGAACTGCTGAGAACTCCCATTTTTTTCAGGGGAAATATTCTGAAAGTAATGAAGCCACACACATACACATTTGTATTTGAAAATGCTAGCTTTCCATGTTGCAGAGCAATTTTATGTACTGCACAGGTGCAGAGAAAAATAAAGAACTCTACTGTTATAGGACAGGCATTTAGAGGATACATCAGTGATGCTCAGCAGTTACCAAAGAAAATCCCAGACAAGCAACTATAGCTTTGCTAGGGGCTGTGAGCCTCTCTGTCGTTACTCTAATTCTGAGTAGTGTTTCTATGACATGCACTCATAATTAAGAAGCTCAGTAACTGACTTCAAACAGCAAACAGAGGAGCCACACATGGAAGAATCAGCCGTGTCTTAAATACAGAGGGCTTTCAAAAAGTTGGTGCCACTCAGACTTGCTGCTCTGTTGGCAGCAAACCCCACTTGACCGTTTTCCTAAGTCTGTGGTTCCTGAGCCCCAACACCCCCCAAGGCCAGCCTGCAGCTCACAGCTGCACTTTGAGGCTGTGCCCAAAAGAAAAGATGGGGTAACTACACCAAGGGTTCAGGTACCCACCAAGTTGAAGCCATGATGGTGGAATGCCAGCATGCATGCGGACACACTGACCGCAGCATCAGAAAACGAGTTCCTTAAGAAAGAATGAGGTATCACAGTGACACACAGAAAAGGCTGAAAAAAGCAAAGGACAGTGACCGTGTGGTAGGGCTCAGTTAGGCACAAAACTGAAAAAAGGCCACCTCACTAAGCTGGGGTGGGGGGGCCCCGCCTGTTGTTACTGCAGCTACATTCATTTCCCCCACAGAAGGAGCTAGTGTGTCACTCACTTGGGAATTCTCCCTCAAACTTGAAATCACCCAGAGAACAAATCAAAACACAGGTTCCCAGGTGCCTCTCAGAGACCAAGTCAATAGGTCTGAGCTGGTACTGCAGCCCAGGCAACTGTGACAGGTTGTGCAAACACCTCAGTATACACTGACTCAACGCCCCCACACTGTACCATCTAGGCTGAATGCAACGAGCAGTCCTAGCAACCAAGATGGTCCATCTACAGTGAAGTTTGTCCTGGCAACCCAGCACGGAAAGAGGTACCTGACTGGGACTGCAGGGTCCCTTCTTAACAAACTACCACAATCCATGATCCTGCCTGACCACGCAAACTCTTGTTATTCAATATACTTCCAATTTGTGTAAGTTCAACTGCAAATACGTAAAACTGTGCTTTCCAGGACAATGACCACTAACCCACATGCAAATGAGCTCCTGAAACATGCATGGCTAGTGACATGCATGAGGAAGTGAACACTCGATTTCCTTTTAGTTAAATGTAAAAACTACTACTCAGTTCAGGAATTGGGAAACATTTTTAAAGTTAAATTTTATGAACTCTAAATACAGATCAAGTATTTGCAATGAAAATCTAGCATCCAAAGTTAATAAGAAAACAAGAGTGTCAATTTTGCTAATATTTTTATACTGATGACATGTTCAAATGATATTATTTTGGATATATCTGGTTAAGTATATTGTTAAAATAATTTCTTTTTTAAAGTGGCTATTAGGTAACTGAAAACACATATGTGACTCGCAGTGTTACTTCCATGAGTTGCGATGACCTAACAGACATGAGGCTCTCTGTGAACACACACTGCCTGCAGTTACCTGCCGACTGCTGCGAGGGAGCCGTGCCAGCCGCACACCAGACATATCAAATAATCTTACTTGTCGGTTGTCATGGGGGAGGGCGATGATTTTTTGGCCAACGCATACATTGATCCTGCAAAGAGACAAAGTAGGTTTCATATAAAACAGTGACAGCACCAGTTTCTGAGTTTACAGATTACGATGCAGTAGAGGATTCCATACTATGCACACTTCATGGCAAATATGACAGCAAACTCCAAGTATTAGCTGTCTATAGCTTTATGATACAGAGACCAAGTTACTTAACACAACTCACATGCACAGCATGGTCACTAAAACAGAAACACTATGATACTGAGCCATAACTGCCTCACTCTTATTCTCAAAGCCCACTATACCAACCTGATTCTGAACTTCAGTTTCAGTGTTTATGGACACTGAATTTGCATTAGAGGATCAATAATAAATATTCTCCCAGAAGTCTAAACCACTTTTCCAAGGCTCATAGACAAGACATCGCACTACAATCAACCCTTTCCAGTCAAGTAAACATCTAAGCAATGAGTAGCTTCCTTCACCTGTTGATGGCGGAGTCTGTCCGAATGGTTGCAATGGGAGATCTCATGTTCTTTAAATCCCAGACCTTCACGGTGCGGTCGTCACTGCCTGAAACAACGTTATCTCCCACGGTAAACACAGCAGAGGTCACGGTGCTACGAGTAAAGGGAAAGGTCAGAAGCTCATCTAGTGTACAGCATGGTGACTAGTTCATACTATACCATGTACTTGAAATTTGCTAGAGGAGTGGGTCTTAAGTGCTCTCACCACACAAACAGAACAGGTATCCACGGGAGGTGAGGGATATGCTAATTAGCTTGACTGTGATCATTTCAGTGGATGCGTATACTAAACATCACATTGTACACCTTAAATAGAATCAATTTTTACTTGTCAACCATACCTCAATAAGGAGGAAAAAATTTTAAAGATAAGAAGAAATGGTCAAGAAAATAATCTAAAGCCCTGGCTGGCGTAGCTCAGTGGATTGAGCGCGGGCTGCGAACCAAAGCATTGCAGGTTCGATTCCCAGTCAGGGCACATGCCTGGGTTACAGGCCACGGCCCCCAGCAACCGCACATTGATATCTCTCTCCCCCGCCCCTCTCTCTCTCTCTCTCTCTCTCCCCCATTCCCTCTCTAAAAATGAATAAAATCTTTTTAAAAATTAAAAATAAATAAAATCTCAGAGTTTAAAAAAAAATTAAAAAATAAAAAAAAATAATCTAACCATTCCTGACAACTCTGGCCCTAAATAATAGCCTCCCAGAATATTTAAGAGCCATATTATTTTCAGAGGCATGAAAATTAACTACAAACAAATAACATATATATATATATATATATATATATATATATATATATATATATATCCTCATTATTTCTCACAACAATTTCAAACTACTTTTATTTCACTTAAGAGTCTAAAACAAGAGATAAACTTCTCAGGTTTAGAATATCAAGGTCCAACCCAGACTGAGACCTAAAGCTGTTTCACCGGCATTAACTCCATGCTGAGTCCCTGCCAGGTGGGCCTCACGCTGGTTGTCACTGCCAGCGTGCAGGTGACCCCAGTCTGTGGAGTATCCTGTGTACCTGGGATGAGCAGTCTTCCTGCCTCTGCCCTGCTGACACGAGGCGTGTCCCCTCCCCAGGTGCTACATCGCCCAATATCAGCCATTATGCTACAAAAAGGAAAATGGGAAACCTGGAGCATCAGTCCAGTGACCCATCTGAAGTCCCTATTTATAAAACAACACAAGGGCTTGTGTTACTCCTCGTCCATCCAGAGGTCACAGCGAAGTTTAAAGAATTCAACTGCCAACAGAGCTCTGGGAACAGCTCATGACACCAGGCTGCTCTGCAGATTCCAGCTTTTAGAAGGTTTGGGCCAAGTTAAATTTCAGTTAACATTCTGCTAAATTAATGGAAAAAATCTCCACAAAAGACCATCGAACCCTATGTTAATGAAATGCTGAAAGACATTAGGTTTTTAATAAATCACAGTCCTGACAGGTATTGTGGGCCATCAAAGGAAAAAAGCTGGCGCAGAGGCAGTCATCTGACAGCACCCTCGACTCGGGTCCCATGGGGAGCGGGGCCACCACAGCCACACACTGGAAAAGCTCCGACTCTGCCAGACTCCAGCAGACTCATTTATCTTGCCGCCGCGAGCAGCCAAGCATGTGCTTGCAGCTGACAGCGCGGTACCTCCTCACCGCACACCACTGCCCGATCTGGAACATTCCGCTCCCTCCGAGGGTCTCAATCAACGGAAAGACTGTAATGCTAGCACTCCTCATTAGGACTAACAGCTGTCTTCCCAGTCACACAGAGACACAAAAGTGTTTTGCATAACAATCTGCTGGAATTTCATGGCTAAGAAAAAAATATGATGTGGAAAATGCTGGCCCAAGAAATGCTGAAGCAGGGTGTTTTCCTGGCTCTGCGTCAGACACTGACTGCAGAGCACCCATTTCTTATTGTAAGGTGTAGTTCCCTACAAAACAAAGTCATCCTTCTACATCTGAAGAACAGGCCAGAGAGCAAGCACTCCACTCTGGGAACAGAAAAGGCAGGGCACCCTTCCCTAGAACATAGGCGGCTTCTCCTCAGGTCCATGGAGCCGTATGTGAAAAGTATATTGAGGAGCAACCAGTGTGGCCTTCTCAACAGCCATCCACCTGTTCAGGTGCACTGCAGTGATCATGTAAATGCACAGGTGTAACACCTGTGTGTCCAGCAGAAGCTGATGTGGCAAATGAACTACAGAACTTTCCCATCAGCCAAGTCAGAGTTCTCACACCCCTGCACAGGAGACTTGCTCATGCCACTGGACCCTGTCAAGACCACAGCGCCTCTATGTCCAAAGGCATCAGAGGTCACCACAGTCCTCCACAAGTCATCCCTACTTCCCAAACTGTTTTAGAACTAGACATCTTAACAGATGACAACGTATGCAGGAGACAGAGCAGGGTCATGGGGAGTGTGCCCTCCTGGGCCTTTCCTACCACATGTGGTTGGCAGAATTTAAGGCACTCACATCAGCCTGTACTACACAACCTTGGAGGACCAGGAAACTTCATTTCCAAATGAAGTCATTTCTAAATATTCCTAGATGGCTAACTCCCCGCAAAAAAGATAAAAAACATTCAAAGGAAGAGTCAAACTTGTATTACACATGGCTCTTTTTCAGGATTAAAAATTCCACTATTCCCTTGAAAAAAATTATGTTAAGCTGTGTCCTGACTGGTGTGGCTCAGTTGGTTGAGCATGGTCCCACAAAGTGTAGGGTCACTAGTTCAACTCCCGGTCAAAGCACATACTTGGGTTACAGACTCAGGCCCCAGTTAGGGCGTGTGCCAGAGGCAACTGATTGATGTTTCTCTCCCTCTCTGTCTCTCTCCCTTACCTTCTCTAAAAATAAACAGATAGCCCTGGCTGGTGTGGCTCAGTGGATTCAGTGCCGGCCTGTCAACCCAAGGGTCACCTGTTCGATTCCCAGTCAGGGCACATGCCTAAGTTGCAGGCCAGGTCTCTTGTTGGAGGAGTGTGAGAGGCAAACACACATTGATACATTGATGTTTCTCTCCCTCTCTTCCTCCCTTACCCTCTCTCTAAAAATAAATAAATAAAAATATTTTTAAAAACAATAAAAATAAAAATATATAGATAAACTATTTTTAAGAAAAAAACAGATGTTAAGGCTCCTTATTGTGCCAGCTACTCAGTATTCTCATTTGGCTGCTCTTCTCTCTACATCTCCCTCTTCAGGACAACTGAAAGATTTCCTTCCTAAATTACTGAACTACAAAACCACCCATTCGACAAGGATTTCTGAGCACTGCTGTGTGCCAGGCTCTTCTTTGTGTGAGAGAACTCCAAACAAAGAGAGGGTAAACCATTCCAGGTGATGCTTCCATTCTAGTGGAAAAGATGGCAGTGGCCCTGGCTTTAATGAAACGTGCTGCAGTTTTAGAACATGCAGTCTAATTGTAGTGGCTGGAATGTGCTGCTAACAGTTATCTCAAAAAACCCCTGCAGTCACCAGCTTTACTACCAGCCAGACAGAAGGGCTCCAAAAGTGATTTTAGGAGCACAAGAAAACAGTATGTTCAGTTAACCTGGCTAAATTCTCTTCCTTAGCATTCTATTCATTAAGAACCTTTTTCCACAGATTATTCAAGATGATAGTGCCACACAATCTGATTTAAAATGATTACAGAGAAATGAAAATGACTAAGATTTATATCTGACTTCCTGCTTGTAACATCAAAGTCAAGACACCAACTTCCTTTCCGTGAAAACTGTGGTCCTTGTTTCATTCTTACTGAACAATGTAATAGTCAGCTGTAAGTGTGAATATCTGTAATGACTGCAATAATTTTACAGAAACCTGAGAGGAATTGCACACCATTAAATTAGGTAAGGGATGATCTCTCTCTGGTTTTAATCACCTGACTTTCCATTCCCTTATTTTCTGAATCCCAAACTTTGCCTGTTACATACTCATCAACTAACAGCAGCCAATGTCTCAACATCACCATGATGTGAGTCTGTGTACAGAAACTAGGAAAGAACTTCAAAGGCTTTGTTTTTTTTAAATCTTCCAAAAGGAAAAAAACTTTTACATCAGCTTTGAAGGTAATGTGATTCAGACAAGCCCTATTCATTAGAATACTTAGGAAATAAAAGTCAGAAATATATAAGGACCTGCAAATGTTTCATTCTCCAATATACCAGATTAGCCAAAAATTGCAAAGTTGAAGGAAGGCCACTGTTGCTTTACTTGGTAAGAAAGATATCACAGGGAGCCGCACACCCAGCCCTGGGTGTTTAGTGACCCTTCCCAGGAGAATCTTTCCTTTACTGGTAATAAAGGAAGTGTTGCTCTGACTGGAGTATGGAGTGACCACCTAACACTGCACTAAAGTAGCTAAAGGCCCTTACGGTCCGAGATTGTGTGCCAATGTGCTTCAAAACCATATGTGAGCATACCCACCAGAAGTGACACAGTCTACACAAAACATGACACATGACAAATAAGTGTATGTGTGTATGAGTGTGCCCACTAGAAGTGGTGTGGGCTACAAGGAACATGACACATGTGCAGATAAGTATATGTGTGTGTAAGGATGCCATCAGAAGTGACATGGACTACACAAATTGGGATGTACATGCAGATTATGTATATCTGTGTGACCATGCCCATCAGAAGTGGCACCAGCTACACAGAACATGGCATGTGTACAGATAGATATATATATGTATGTTTAAATAAACCATGACTAACCTCTACTGATACAGAAGTGACTCTGCTACTTTAGCAACTACGCTGAGAACAACTGTTTTTCAAATCAAGTATAATTTGCTCACTGAAACAGTGGAACCATGTGGCCCCAGGAAGCATCCTTGGGTTCCACACATAAGCAGGGAGGTGACTACAAGTAAAATTTCACTTTAAAAAATTCAGAATTAAGCAATTAGAAACTTCCGGCCAAGATGGAGGCATAAGAAGACACGCTGTGCTTCCCCGCACAACCAAAATAAGGACAACAATTTAGAAACAAAGTAACAACCAGAACAGACAGCAAATTGAACTGTATGGAAGTACTACAACCAAGGAGTTAAAATAGACACATTCATTCAGACCGGTA